ACTTTTATTAATATTATTATTGCCTGGGTCTGGACTAGACCTTAGGATTCCTGCCTGGTGTTTTTTCCGTTAATGTTTTTGAATTCATTCGTTCATCCATTCATTGGTCTGATAACGATTCCGGGGCCACTCCTCAGGGTGCCCGAGCCCCAATTCTGTAGCAACTTCTACAGTTGGTCAGGTAGCACCATAGCACCAACTCTTTCCCCCAGGGCCAAACTGCCCTGTTCTTCCAACCTGACACTCTGGTTCTCAAAGCCTCCCCCACTCCCAGGGTCTGATGGTCTCCTCTGAACCTGGAAGCCTTCTCCTCTCCCTTCCTTCCCTCTTCCTCCCTTACATCGGGGGCTGAAGACCTCTGATTTCCACTAGGCTCCTCTCTCTTCATCTTTCTTCCTGGGCTGAGCTTTCAGTGGAAACCTCTGAGTAGGTCCCAATACCAGAATCTAACCCCGACAGGCTTTCCCATTCCTGGGATAACCTGTCCTCCAAGTCACCTTCAAAAATTTCCATAACCTCAAATGGCTCCTGCCACGCCTTTCTAACTGACTTGGGCTTGGGCTGTTGCCTGGGTTAAAAGGACCAACGAATAAACACAGACACTTGGTAAAAAGAATCCCTTGTGTTTCTCTAGAGCCTTGGAGGGGCATGGAGCACTTGGTAGCTTAGGGTCACTTTGATTTCCCCAGCGCCCCCCGGAGGTGAGGGGCACTGGGTGGGTGCTTCCCTCTGGGGCGGGAGCACCTCCTCCTGGCAGCTCCTCGGGAGCCAAGGTGGAGGTGGCTTCAGGGTGGCTGTGTGTGGGGGATGGGGGGGAAGGCAAACAAGGACTCCAGGTACAACACCGCAGTGCCCCAGTTTATCTCCTGGAGGTTGACAAATGGACAGTGACAGGGACAGAGTAGACCAAGAGAGTCCACGTCATTTCTCTGGCAGTCCAGGGAGCTTTGGGCTCTTTAGGAGAGCAGGGAGTCAGGAAGGACAGTGACCTGCTGTCATGCTCAGCCACGTCTGGGTCTCCCTTGAGGAGACCACCACCCCAGTGAGAATCGCTCTGGGATCGACCGCCAGGACCCCTTGCTTGTTCTCAGGGCAGAGGTACAACGGAGAAGGAAGAAGAATCAGGTTTCCCTCGAAGGCCTATACTTGGTCCTGGCACCAATCCCAGGTCTCATCTGGCCTTGTTCAGAGGCCCCACCTTCTCCTTCCCTCCCAATCAGACGCCCAGAGCTAGCTGGCTCCCATGTTTACCCTGAGTTGATCGATTGCTTGGCATAGGAATGAGCACACAACCAGCTAGCGGAGGACCGTGCAGTCACCTGGGCCACACCTGCCCTTTGACCTCCTGTCACCCCTGGCAAGCTTTGATCCCTTTTGGCTTGGAGGCCGGAGGCTGGGCGGGTGCCACTCACCTGACACTGTGGAGCTGGGCGGACAGGCAAGCAGGGACGGTGGCTGGCTGTAAATATCAGAAGGGACTCGCAATGAAAGACCCCAAGCCTTTTCCTCCCAGTCTACTCCTGTATGGTTGTAGGCAAGCCACTTCATTGGTCAAGGCCTGGATGTCCCCCTCTGCAAAATGGGCAAATGAAGATTGGCTCCCTATTTGTTCTCCAAGTCTTGAGAGCAAAGTGTAACTTTCAGTGTAAAAGTCATGGAGAGTTTGGGAAGAATATCAACAGCCCAACGATATTAAACCATATTCCAACAATGGGAAACATTACTGCAATAGTCCAACAATAATCAAAGCCTAGGAGGGAGAAAACAGGGGTGGAGGGCACGCTTCGGGGTGGTACGGCTCACCCCTTCTTGTCACACCAGGCTCACCATCTCCCGGCTCTGCAGCCTCCCAGTCCATCACGTCGCCATGGACAGAAAAGTGGCAGTCCCCGAGGACGGGCCTCCTGTGGTCTCCTGGCTCCCTGAGGAGGGAGAGAAGTTGGACCGGGAAGGCAAGGGCCAGGTGAAGGACCGGGGCCAATGGACCAACAAGATGGAGTTTGTGCTGTCAGTGGCCGGGGAGATCATTGGGCTGGGGAATGTCTGGAGGTTTCCCTATCTCTGCTACAAAAATGGAGGTGGTGAGTTCACTTTGAGGTAGGCGTGGTGGGGAGAGCTGTGCCTTGACCGCAGGCAGGGCCTACCTGGGCATCTCCTGCCTGGGGATGTGGTAAAATGGAAGGAGGCTGGCATAGAGTCAGAGAGCCCAGGGGTTCTCAGGGTCCTCCTCTGTGAAATAGGGATGATGCCTCCCAGGGCCACAGTGAAGGGTAACGGAGGCAATGGGTAGGACCAAAGAATCTGAGTGTGTAACCAGATAGGATAATACTAGCCTTTCATGATTCTGTGCAATGCCGGTTGCTGATAGGAGTCATTCATTCAGCCAGTATTACTATGGGCCTCTCCTGGGCTAGGCATTGTTCTAGATACAGCACAGAACACATTCTGTGTGTCATATATATTCTAGCGCGTGGTGGCAGATTACAGACAAAGAAGTAAAATGCATGGGATGTTGATGGTGAGGAGTGGAATGGTGGGAAGCCAAGCAGGGACGAGAGGTAGGGAATGCTGAGTCGTTGGCGATGTGCGGGACCGGGGGAAGGGCTGGAAAGGTGAAGTAAGGTGCCCAGGAAAGCTTGCGTTGAGGAGGTGACATTTGCGCCAAGACTTGAAGGAGGTAAAAGAGTGAGTCTTACAGATGGAGATCGGGTGAAGACCATTCCAAACGGAGGGGAAAACAAGTGCAAAGTCCTGGGGTGAAAGTGCACCTGGCCTGTTTGAAGAACAGTGGGGCAATGACAGATGTGGAGAAGAGAAGAGATCAGAGAGGTCACAGGGCTCACATCTTGTAGGCTCTGCTCTGCGATGGGAACGGTTGAAGAATTTGAGCAGAGAAATATGACCTTGTCTCTGATTTTTTTTTTTAATTTAAGAAACATAATTTTATTATTTTTCAGCACTGGTAGTAAAAATGAGCAGGGATATGGTGGGAAAGGGCCAGATTAATCTTTTTACGTGCACAATTAAAGGCTTTTAGTATATTCATAGAATTGTGTAACCATCCCCACAACTGACTTTAGAACATTTTCATCATTCCAGAAGGAGGGCCTGAAGCCATTAGCAGTCACTCTCTTGCTGCCAGCCCTTGGCAGCCACTAATCTATTTCTGTGGCTATGGGTTTACCTATTTGGAATTTCCATACAAATGGAAGTATTCATTTATATGAATTTATTTGTGACTAGACAGATTCATCTTTGCCTTTTGAAAATACCTTTATTCTTCTTGTGGAAATTGTACACATTTATTTTGAAATCTGAAATATTCCAGAAAGGTAAAAAGAAGAAACATTCCTATTTAAAGATAATTATTGTTTAGAAAACCCTTATAGGGACGCCTGGGTGGCTTAGTCGGTTAAGCGTCTGCCTTTGGCTCAGGTCATGATCCCAGGGTCCTGGGATTGAGCCCCATGTTGGGCTCTCTGCTCAGTGGGGAGCCTGCTTCTCCCTCTGCCTGCGGCTCCCCCTCCTTGTGCTTTCTCTCTTTCCCTCCCTCCCTCTCTCTCCCTCTCTCTAATAAGTAAATAAGATCGTTTAAAAAAATAGAAAACCCTTATAACACTATTCATATTTAATTTTTAAAAAAGATTATTTATTTTGGAGATGGGGGGAGCAGCCGAGGGGGGGGAGAATCTCAAGCAGACTCCCCGCTGAGCGCAGAGCCTGACATGGGGCTCAGATCCCATGACCAGGGGATCATGACCTGAGCCAAAATCAAGAGTCAGATGCTTAACCGACTGAGCCCCCCAGGTGCCCCCATATGTACTTTGACAGGTATTTACTGAGCATCTACCAGGTATCTTGTTTTGTGTTTCCAACCTTATAGTATTATTACCAACTACTTGAACGAATGGCTCCAAGAAATAGAAATGGGTTTTCCTGGCAGGTGAGGGCTATGGGGCGAGGCTGGGAAGTGGGGGGTGAATTCTGGCCGGAGATTAGGGGAGGCAGGGAGAAGTGGTAGGGGCACTGACTTGTTTCTTTGTCCCAGGCCAGTTTCACGGACACGCAGGGCGTTCGTGCTCGAGCTGAAGATGATCCAGGCTGAGCACTCATTTCACAGAGCGCCCAGAATCCCCTTGGGATGTTTAGCGACTTGCCCAAGATTATAGCAGTGGTTGGGAGCTGCGGGCCCTGGGCGCCTGGTTCACTGGCTTGCACATCACTTGCCCTGCCATCTGAAAAGGAGGGAGAAGGAGGGTCCAGGGGACAAGTTTTCGGGTTCAGGTGCCCACACTTCCTTGTCCTGCCTGGTGACTGCACTGTGGCCGTGGCCTCGGTCCTGGCTGTGGGGCAGCATGGGGATGCAAGCGCCTAGGACTGTGTGCCGGGACACGGCGCTGAGCCTGGGCTGTCTGTGAAGAGGCAGTGCCGGCAGAGTCTGTGTTCTCGTGTTAGCTCTGTCTCAACCTAAGTACCGGGGAGGACACCCACCCTGCCACCCCTCTATCCTGTCTCCCTCATCCACCCCCACATGAGGGGTGGAGCAAGGTCAGGATGGCTGAGAAGGTTCTGGAAATCTCAGGTCACTGGTCTTTGGGGGTCCAGGAAAGTAGGAATGTAGGTTTCCTTGTTTCAGTTAACTTAATAATAGATCTGTGTGGGAACATGACTTCACTGACTAACTCAAATGTCACCTTTTTGCTTTAGGCTAGAATTGTACTAACTCACTATGATAATAGGGTTTATCTTGAGCTGACCGTAACTCCTTAGTTAGCAGTTAGGATGTGAGGGCGATCTGGCTGCGACATCTGTCACCCCGTTGATTGCCAGGGTTGATGCGGCTGATCTGGCTGGCTAGGCAGGTGTCCCCTTCCTCCCTCACCACTCCACGGGCGCCCCGCCCGAAGCTGCGCGCTTGGTCCAAGAGGACGACCTTCCCTGATAGGGGAGGACCATTCCTCGGTCAAGCGTATACAGTAGCTGCGCTCCCCTGCTAGGACCCCCAAACAAGCTCTCCAGGTCCATTTGTAGGAGAACGTAGGGTAGTCAAGCTTCCGAGATTCCAGACACATCCAAATGAGGTGCTGCAGGTGGCAGTCTGCCTTGCTTTAAAAAAAATAAATAAATAAGAAAAAAAGCAGTTAAATATAGTGTTTACTGATATATTAATTAATTCATAATGAATTAATAATTAGTTAACCAACAGTTCTGTAGAGAAAAATCTTTCAAGAGGGATGAAAAAAATAGTGTTATTGGTGTAATAATATCTTTGGTTACAAAAAAACCCCAGGGAGTCGCTAAACTAGATCATCCTCAAAAAATGGCTCACCCCAAAAGAGAATTTTATGAATTCTGAGTTTCCAGATTGCTAGTGGTTCCGGAGTGAGTGCTTGGCAGAGCTAATAAGGCATACCTTAGAACAAAGGGAGAGAGACTATAAATGTGTCCCAAGGCACCCTGTCCTCACAGATCCCTGGGGGGCCTCATCCGGCTGCCCTTGCCCAGAGCATGGGCAGATGCCAAGAGAACTGTGGGCCAGGTCAATCTCCCCGAGTGAGGATTCTCAGCCGTTCACGGGAGGGGAGGATGTTTGCAGTGATAGTATGTTGAAAACCCAGGGAGAAAGCCAAGAACGGACGCCTGTAGGCACTCCAGGACCAACCTCCTCCCACTGCCTGCTGTGGCCCGGGGCCTAGCACTGACCTTCCAGGCCTGACTCAGCCTGAGGGTGGCCCAGCTCCAGGCCTCCTGAGCTCTCGCCCGTGTCTGTGGGGCAGAAGTCTATGTGCCAAGGATAGGGCTGAGGCCGTCCCCTTCAGGAGAGGTAAGGACTTGGCACAGCCAGCAGGAAGGGGCCCATGGGTCATATGCCGCCACAGACTTCCCATAACGCGCCCTCTGGGTGAGCCCCTCAGCCTCACCCCTGTAACCACCTAAGCCGCGTAAACCGGAGTCAGTGGTGTTACTCAGGATGGGCAGGCAAAGCTGGGGTTAAAAAGGACTTCAGGACTTGGAGAATTACCAGCTACTGTGGCTCCGGAGGGCCCAGAAGACTCACAGATCCTTCTCCTTCACTCTTAACATATTGCTACTGGCAGTGCAGATGGGTAGGAGAGGCCAGGAGGGCGATTCGGAAATGCATGTCAAAGTCCTTAAAAAACTGTTCAAGCCCCAAGGGTGGAAGCAACCCAAATGTCCATCAGTGGACAAATGCATAAACAAAATGTGATATATACACATGAGGGAATATTATTCAGCCTGAAAACAGCATGCATAAACCTTGAGGACATGAAGCTAAGTGACATAAGCCAGACACCAAAATCATAAGTACTGTGTGATTCCTCTTATATGGGGTGTCTAGAAAAACAATTCATAGACAAAAAGTAGAATGGTGGTTACCAGGGGCCGGGGAGAGGCGGGGAATAGGGAGTTAGTGTTTAATGGCTACGGAGTTTCAGATTTGGACGGCTGAGAAGGTTCTGGAAATCGATGGTGGTGATGGTTGGATAACAGTATGAAGGTACTTAAGGCCACTGAACCTTACACTTAAAAATGGTTAAAAAGTAAAATTTATGTTATATACATTTTACCACACAAAAAAAATGTACATACCCTCTGACCTACCAATTTGCCCACTGGAAATTTCTACGAAGAAGACAGTTAGCTAAGTGCACAAGGATGTGGACACAGGATCGCAGTGGGGTTTCTAATGAAACAACCAAAGATACCTGGCCAGTGGAGGTATCGATGAAATAAACTAGGGTACATGCTTATGGTGGAATATGATACGGCCATTAAAATGATGCCTTCTATATTTATTGATATAATACGTTCATGATAGGTTTTTAAATGGTAGTCAAGGAATATATAGTAGGTTCTTATTTTTGCCCAAAAAAGAGAAATATATATATATATGTGTGTATGTATGTGTGTGTGTGTGTGTTTATAAGAAAATTGGAAGGCTGTACAATGTTTTTTTTCCTTTTCCCCCTTTGTACTTTCTATTTTTCCTACAAAGTAATGTGGATTACTTGGGTAAGAGCACAGACTCAGGATCGGACCACTTGGTGTGATGCCTTACTCTCTTCATCTGTAAAATGGGAATAACAGTGGTATCTGCCCCATGGGAGGTGGTTCTGTGAGGATTCTGATGTTGGTGGAGCATTTAGAAGAATGCCTTACACACAGTAAGCACAACATAAGGGCTAAGTGTTATTTTGGTGCAGTAAACAATAATCTGTTTACCCATGGGTACACTTCTGAGGTGAGGTATACGTCTTAGTGACTGAAGTGGGCACCGGCGACTTAGCATTGTCTTTAAGTTCCCTACTTTGCTGGATGCTTTTTCGGCCTGGCCTCCTGTGGGGGCCTATAGGTCAGTGCCTAATCACATAACTGCTGAAAAACGTACCCGAGAAATGGCCTTCTCTGCTGGGACCCCAGTTTGGATCAGAGCCTGGTGGAGGGAAAAAACCATCTGAAAATTATTAGAGGAAAAATAATTTTTCCAAGGTGTTTTGTTTGTTTTTCTCTAAAATGTAACACACTTGATAATTTAATAAGCATATCAAATTATACAGAACACATGTTTTGGTTCCAAAAATAATAAATGGACTAAGTTTGTAAAGCACACTGAGAAAATAAATAGTGCATCTATTAGGATTTCCACCCAAATGTTCACTCCTCTTTCTTCAAAGGTCTTTCCTATCCTGAGTGGGGTTCAGACTGGAAAATTTCTGCCCGTCCCTGTTCGCAGACAGGAGGAAGCCGATGTGGGCCCCTGGGAGGGTGGGGAGGGAGACTAAGGATGCCGAGCAGTGGGACGCTGGCCTCCCAGATGGGTCGAGGACTCAGCCCCTGCCCCCTCTTGTTCCACAGGAGCCTTCTTCATCCCCTACTTCATCTTCTTCTTCACTTGTGGCATCCCGGTGTTCTTCTTGGAGGTGGCGCTGGGCCAGTACACCAGCCAAGGCAGCGTGACAGCCTGGAGGAAGATCTGTCCCCTTCTCCAGGGTGAGTGTTCCCCTGTGCCCTCCTACCAGGGTCACCAAGCGCCTCCATCCCTCCATCGCTCCTCCCCTTTCCTTCCCTGCCCCCACCTTCTTATTCATCTACTCTCATCCTGTGCGAAGTGCTGTGGGGGACACAGGAAGAGTTGTCAGACTTTGGCGGGCCCAAAGCTTATAGATCCTGGGGAGGAAGGCACTCCTCAAGAAAGACAATACAAAATCACCAGTGCAAAATTAGATGCAGAGCTTGGAAAGAGTTCTTGCAAGTGAGGAATCCTGGAGCTTCATCTTCATCAGCTTCCTGGAAAGCTGTTCTGTGTATATGGCGCGGCCCCAGACGTGCCGCCGAGGTACATAACCATAGGGATGATGATGATGATGGCTAACATCCCCTGAGCCCTGCTACGTGTTAGGGCTCAGGTAAGCACTTTACGTGCATTTCCTCATTGGATCCTCCAGTAACAACTCGCTTAGTTATTTGTAGATGAGAAAATGAGATCCTTTACTGAGGATTTGAACCCAGGTCTCCCTGAGCTGAAAATTCATGCTTTTTCTCATGTTAGGAATTAGGTTAGGGATTAGGTTAGGGACAGCTCCTGTTCTCTCTATGGACTTGCTGGCACTAATGTGAGCGGCTTGGGGTGTCCTTCCCCCACCCCATCTTTAGCTGATTGGGCCAGTCCCCTTGGGGGGGGTTCCCCAACCCTTGTCTCTGAGAGGTTCCTTGCCTATGGGAAATGAGGAGAGGACTCTTTCCCTCACGTCAGTCTCTGAGGCAGCCCCAGGGACTAGGCTATCTGGGTTACAGCCCAGCTTAGTAGGTGGGGAAACCCTGGCTCCTGAGCAGACTGGGAACCTGACCACTGATTGGGGGTTTGGTTGCGGGGACCAGGCTCGTCTGATACTGATTCCTCTTGGGGCACCCATGGGACCCCTGGAGGAGCAGCAGTGAGGGGCTGGGGAGGGGCGAAGCTTGGCCCACATACGTTTCTACTCAGGAGTGCCGAATCCTGCTGGACGACTGTGGCCTTAGCCAGAGCAGTGTTCTGCTCTGGAGCCCAGCAGTCGCCTAATGTCCCACCCAGTTGGGCTCTATCCCTAGGACCAAGCGAGCTCCTGGGTGGCAAAAGGTAGGGCTGGCCTCTCTGGAACGCATCTACTAACTCTCTAAGGGGGTCACCACAGATAGGGTGAGCAAACCAAACATTGGAGGGGAGTCGGGGCGGGGGGGAGGGATTCCTGCTCCTTCCCTCTTGGCCAAGTTGAAGAGACAGAGACTCCAAGGCCTGGAGTCTCAGGGTGTGTGCACCGATGTTGGTGGGAGGGTCCAGGCTGCCTGCTACCTGCCCTCCACCGGCCTGAAGGCACCCACCCCACAGTTCACCCTTACAGCACACGGAGGCCCCACCCTGTGCTCACCCACCCTCCCTCCCTCCCTCCTCAATTTACACACAGGCACAAGTTTCCTCCCCAGAGATCATCCCTTTCCTCAGAGATGGGGCACCCCCTCCCCCCAGCCTGGCTCCCTGCCTTCCTCCCGGGTCCGGTCGGGTGTTTACAGGCGGTGGGAGCACAGCGCGTTCCGGCAGCGAGTGGCCGCACAGTGGCCGCTTGTTTGGGTGTATGGGTGTCTGTGTGTGCGCGCTCCGAACAGCCCGGCCGCCCGGGTCCCCGGGGACCCTCCGCGCCATCAGCAGCCCCGGCCACCGCTCCTCCCGAGGCCCCAGCCCACGGTCGCTTTAGGGCGCCCCCGCCCCCCACGCCTGCATGCTTTGCAGAGACCCAAACGCAGAAAAACACGGGGGTGGGGGGTGCGGTGCCCTGGTCGAGTTGGCCAGGCCCGCGGGAACAGACAATCAGGGTGGGCTCCCCCGGCCAAGGGCTGGTTTTGTGGACAGTCTGCATTGATTTTCCGACCTGCCTCGGGGCTGTGCTTCGTGAAGTCATCCTGGAGCCCGGGCTTCCCGGGCCACGGGCGCCTCCCCAGGACGCGGGGCGGCTGGGACCTGGGACAGGGTGCGGCGCCCACTCCTCCTCCCGCTTTCACACCTTGGGACTAACGGCCGCCCTGGCAACGTGCTACTTTTAAAATGACTGTGGAAAAGATCCCACGTTTG